GGCGCCCGTCCACTTCCTGTCATTTGCGAGCCTGAGGCTGCGGGCGTGGGGCCAGGCTAGGCCGGCGAGGGCCGAGCCAGCCGTCTGGCGCCTGCCAGCAGACGGACAGGGCCACCGTCACACGGACAAGAGTCCAGCGGCTGACGGTCCGGCGTCCACTGTTGAAGAGGCTGCTATCAGTTGCCGGACGGCTGGAGTGCGCAGTCAGAGGAACAGTTGCCCAGCATTCCACGGACAAGAGTCCAGCGTTTGACGGTCCGGTGTCCACTGTCGAAGAGGCTGATACAGCCGCCCACCATTCCACGGACAGAGATCCACCAACAGGCAGACAGGTATCCACCGTTGGCAGAACTCCAACTCAGGTCAGCAGGTGTCCACCGTCACACGGACACGAGTCCACCAACCGGCAGACAGGAGTCCATCGTCGGACGGACAGAGCTGCACTGTCAGACAGACATAACTCCACTGTCAGGCGGACAGAAGAAGTCTATCGTCAGACGGATAGGAGTCCATCGTCAGGCGGACGGGGATCCGCTTTTTTGACGGATGATTGAACCGTTAGATGGCCAATGACCCACTGTCAGCCGGACACATTAGCATTCGACAGTCAGGCGTAAGCCATCAGAGGGATCGAGGCCCACTGGCACATAGTTACATAGAGGGGGGCCGCCGTCAGACGGACTGGGGTGTACCGTCAGACAGGAGCCTAGCGTCCGAAGGCCAGTTCACCGACGGGTGGAAAGGAGCTGGCAGACAGAAGCCCCTGTCCGAAGGGCAGTTCACCGTCGAGCGGATAGGGACCACTACCGTGCGGAAGGAGGACTGAATGGAATTGTTGCACCGCAATTGCGAACACAAATGCGCCATACACATGCAAAACTCCGTCGCCATATTGCGCAGTTCGTCGTAACAGGTGCTTTACGACGCACTCGGCTGCTGAGGCTAGGTGGCGTCATCTGCCTCACACCCTGGCTGAGGATCGCGGGTAATTGAACTCCGTGCCTCTGGTCTCCCCGTCACGCAGCTTAACCACTACACCACCCCCTGCACCATATTGCACAGCTCGCACTGTGCTGCCTGAGGCTTGGCGTGCGTTTAGCGCGTGATGAGCCGATTCGCGGTGTTTCTCTTATTCGGTAGTACGAATGTTTAACGGTAGCAACAACTAGAAACCATTCGCCGGCAGTCCAGTTTTCATCCGTCGGAGTCCGTGCTGGCTCGGTTCAGCCCGACGCCCGGTCTCCATAGACCCAAACGTGGCGAACGGAGCCGTGTGATGGAATGCAGCACCATTGTGTGACGATGCCCACCACCAGATACCGGCCTGGTAACGCGATTCACTGGCAAGCCGTCTTGCGCGCCGACAGATCCGTTCCAGTGACAGCGCCGTGCCCGTGCACAGCGCGCCGCCTGGGTACGGCGTCTGCTCGGCCATCTACGATGCTACCAGGTCTCGGCCATCTACTCGGTCATCTGCTCGGTCATCTGCTCGGTCACTGGGTTTCGGTCATCTGCTCGGTCACTAGGTCTCGGTCATCTGCTCGGCCATCTGATCTGTCACTAGGTCTCGGTCATCTCGGTCTCGGTCACTCCGTCCCGGTCAGCTGGGTTTTGATCATCTGCTCGGTCCCCAGGCCTCGGTCATCTCCTCGGTCACTCAGTCTCGACGCCACGTGTGGGATCCGGGCAGCTGTTGGCGTGTTTCGCAGGCTGGCCGCTGGCCGTGAGGGACCAGGTATGCGGCGGGAGCTGGACGGGCACGCTGGGCCCCATTCAGCAGCCGCCACCGCACCCCAGGCGCCTCTGTTGGCCAGGCGGCGCTGCCTCTCACAACGCCCTTCATAAACGCCATTCAGCACACCTGTATGGAAGGGTCCCGAGTGCCGAACGACGCGGTGTCGCGGCGCGCTCAGAGCCGTTTGCCTCTGTGAGAGCCGAGAGCGCTGACAAAGGCCGAACACGAGCGTCGCTCGGCGGCCGGGTCGGCAGGGACCGCGGCCCTGTCACCCGCCGCATTCTGCCGACAATGGCAGCAGCCACTTCTGGCTGGAGAGCCTTCTGGTCTCAACCAGCGGCCGTGGGTACCACTCGTCGTGTGTTTCCAAAATATATCTCCAAAATCGCGGGATGTTTATATGCGAACGCTGTTTACAAGAACCTGTGCACAGATCTGATTGATTTGTCGCCGCCAGTAACACAAAGCGCATACATGATTGACGCTACACATGTTGGATGCGCCCAATAAGCGTCCCAGTTCTAGTCACTCCCCGTACTACTCCAGCGAACGCCCCACGCCTCCCAACCGGATCGCGCCCGCACCACCCGCCAAGGTCACGGCAGGGAGGGGTGACACCCGACACCGGCGCTGGGGGGCGGCGACGCAGACTCGGCCGCGACACTCACAAAAACAGCCCCCTAATTGGGACGTATTAGACCGGGTGGTCATGTCAACGGGAGGCGACCGACCGGGCCAGGCCACGACAGGGGACGGGAGCGGCCCAGCCAGCGCTCGACAGAGGGAGCGTGGGAGTCCACCCACCCCCGGCACACCCAGCGCGAGGAGACTGCGCTGATCGCCCGCGCGGGAGTTGGAATCACTGGTGCACACGGCGTAGATTGAACCGCCGATTATGAAAGACTGCGGTTTGTTTTTTGTGAAAGACTGAGATTCAGGTGTATCCCTTGAAAAGGAGATACACCTGAATTAACAATCATCCCCTTCAGGGGAAATACCGACTGTTCTCAGAGACGGAAGTGTCAGATGCCCACTCACCTCACGCGACTTCTAAAACACAACTGGCGGACAACGCCTTTCTAAGGCAAGACAATCGAGCAGCATCTACATTCTGTGAAAAGGCAACACATTGGACCATGAGTTTGCTTGGGTGTGTGCATCCAAGCTCTGCCCGGCTCTTGTCGCCGCCCAGTTCAACAGGACACGTCAGCACCCCCAGTGTGTGCCTCCACGCTTTACCCGGCTCTTGTCGCCGCCCAGTTCAACAGGACACGTCAGCACCCCCAGTGCCGCGGGCTGGGTCACGGTTTCCGGCAGAGCTCCGGTGAGCGGACGCAGAGGCCGATCAGGCGCCGCAGGAGGCGGCGGCGACAGGAGGTCCCAGGCGCCGATCGGGGCCGCCGCTGCCGACCGCGGCCCGCACGCGCTGACCCGGTGGGAGCCGTGGCGCCCCGGCCTCCTTACGCTGCAACCTCTGGGGTCGGCGGCCTCCTTTTGGCCAGCCCACAGAGCTCGCAAACGCCTCCTTCGCCGTAAGTAAAGCAACAGGCATTGCACTGAGTGTGTAGGCGGTCCTGCTTCTCCAAAACAGACTTGAGCTTAGATCGGTGGAATCGAATCTTACTTCGGAATCCATTTAGTTTTGACTTGAATCCGTTGGCTCCATTGGCTGCTTGGCTGAATCCCATTCGGAATCGGTTCCCGTGGTTTGCCACGTAATCGTAACTGATTCGATTCCACCTTGAATATGCCCAATTCAAAAGTAATTTGACCACAAACTCTAAGGTGTAAATTACATCGCTGACTTTCCAGTGCACAAATTGAGTTTCCCAACTAGTATGTGTTTACGAGACATGTGAGATGGAAATCTGTGATCTATCCGCTCAAGTGTGGGGATATGGAAGGCTGGATGCGCCCGGAGTGGTCAAAAGCTCAAATTAGGTACTTTGGGAGGCAGAAAAGTTTGTTGCGTTACTATGGACTTGCCGGTTTCTCCGCCATTCAAGTCTTCAATCTCCAATACATAGCCATTCATGCACTCATGCATTTTCAAATTGGTATGCAAAACAGATCGCCTTTCTGCTGCTGCATACGGATGCCCGATAATAGCCTCGTGTTGTACATATATAATGAGCCTTTGCACCAGTGTAACTATTTGCAGCATGCTCCTTCCTGACAAAATACATTTAAATCGGATTCGGAATAAGAATAAGCAATCTTGGCCATACACGAGTTCGATTCGACCTCAAAACCGGTTCACAGCGGTCACAATTATCTTCGAGATCGACTCTCCTCGAGCGGAATCAAGCAAACACATCTCCAAAGTCGTTGTCATTCATGAAAAATACTTATTGATTTCATTTTTGCACTGTTTTTTTCTGTAGCCGCATCACACCACAAATCCACCGGTGTCTGTGCTGTTCCTCAGCACTGGCATTGCCGGCGCTCGCATTGCTTACAAGCTGGCATACCTTTCCCTCAGCAGCCTCACATGAAATTTGTAATAAGTCTTAGCATACGCCCAATGCAGAAACAAAAGATAACTGTTTCCGTATAGCGTTGCTCGTTATCTATGCTCTGGCTCTGTTTGAAGTCAGCGCAAACTCCAGAATCATTCACTGTCTCGTAGGGCTGAAGTGGTATCGATTCCTCTGACAACGTATGTCCGTTCCGGGTTGATCAAGTCGCATTGACTGAAACCAGATGGGTCGACCTCAAGATAGAAAGAAATAACAACAAACATGTTCATTCTGAAGGCTGTCGCATGTGTGGCAAATGGTGTTCTGAATGCCTCGTCAAATTATCAAAGTTGGGACCCACGCGGGCTTTTTAAAGTTCGTGTGGATCATTTCAATTGCCAACTGGTTGCCGGCTTCGACTCCATCGGAGCCGATTCCAGAACCAAAACTGCTTATTCTTGCGTTGGTATCGGAGTCAACTGACTCACGACTAGGCCATGCTGCTCGCAGTCAGAGCAAAAACCAACCCAATGCGCTGTGAGTCGGAGTCGGAAACGACGCCAAAGCGGTCTCAAACACAGGCCACTCGCGACAGCGCTGCAGTCAGCACGGGAGCGACACCTGCACTCGTTCGCCGTCGTGGATTGGTTGCTGCTCGTAGCAGCACTGGACTTTGGTAAGTTGACAACCGCGGGAACGCGTAAAATACGCCGAGGAGAATGTCCCAACGGTCCATTCCGTACCGCTTGAATTCTGGGTGCGTGGCCCTCAACAGGTCGCCTGCAACGCTCTGGCAGGGTACTCACCGTTCTCCTCCAGCGACAAGCAGGGGAGCGCCCACGCCGCGAGCAGCACGACCCAATATAGTTGGAAGAGCATCGTTGCAGGTCACAGGCGCTTGGACAGCATTACAAGTTCAGACGCAGAGCGCCAAAATGTATGCGCTCCCGGCGCCGCCGCTCGGGCCACGCCACCGGCGACAGTGACGCGCTCGTCCACTGCCCGACACCGGATGTCCTCCGCTACCGCCTGCGGACGCCGCGAGCCTGCCGCCCGCCCGAGCTCCACTGACAGTCAACACCTTCAACACCACGGCAAATCTGCTTCCTAAGACGGTGCCGTCTTGTCCGGCCGGTCGGCGTGTCCCGCGCAGTCGCCGAAGACCCCGTCCGCCCGCGGCTCGCAGCACACCCACCGGCGCGTCAGGCGTTCGTCGTCCGCTCGTCCCTCGCGCCCGCGGCCCGGCTCCCGGTACTGCTCCCGCAGACGATTTGGCGACGGCGGCCGCCGCAGACTTTCTCACGGTCCACGGCCGCGGCGTGACCCGCCCACCCCATTAGGCGGACACTGCCATCTAGCGGCCGAGCGGACAAACTGTAGTCGCGCTGACGACTCCCTTGCGGAGGTCAGACCTTCGCGGGGTTCGATATTGAGAAGATTGAACTTGACCCGACGGTTTGGTCTTCGCCGAGCTAAGAATTCCACTTTTCCCGCATCGCCCGGCCAGAGGCTCCTGCAGTCAGTGAACTCGACGGCAGCTGATGTGATCAGCACTCGTATGTACAGACCCAAGAGGACAGAAAGCGTGTTCCAGCAATGTAGGCATGTTGCGCGAATCAACTTCCGGGATTTATGTTCAGCCTGGTGCGCTTAGGCCGATAGGATGCACTGTTGGCCGTTATTTTCATAAACAAATGCCCAGATCAAAATGTACGTGAGTCGCTAAGCCAACCTCGCTTGATTCGCTGCAAACAGATCAGGACCACGTCTAGAAAGGGGCGAAAGTCAAGTGAGAAACCATGGAAGAACGGAAGCGTATATCGTATTTCAGTCACAAAGTTGAATGCTCAATTTACTTTCGTTTTGATGTTATGACAGGTCAAAACGGTGACGATTCAGATAAATTTGCATTTGTGACGTACGTGATAGATGGCAAGGTACACTGTATTGGTTTTCAAAGAAATATAAATGTTCTTCGCGACCCATGTTTTCATGACTCGGTTCTTCCATATTGTCATATTTTTTGGGGGCCTAAAAAATGAAAAGTTGTCAGCCAGAGCTAAGATGTCGCCTACAGATCATCACAGCCATTTACACCCGATATCGGCTCACACCAGTCACACGGACCCTGTTTCACCCGCCTCGCGTTCTCGGACCACATGCTGTAGCGGACGCCTGTCCAAGAACTGTGGGTCGTGTTTACGGTCAGACCACACATATCCCACCGGCAAAAATACTCATGTTGACACAAACAAAAACGCGCTTGGCGGAAACAAGCCCGCCAGCTGCTGCTTGTTACGGCTCGAGGCGGACCGTACAATCACAATGGTGTCTGCTGGGTCCTGAGGACGCTGGACAGCTCGCTGCCCTTGATGGCGGGAGGGGAATGTGACGTGTTCATTGCTAACCACGTGCGCAAATGTGTATAAACGGACTCCTAGAAATTCGCGACGTGGGATAGAGGACCAGGCACGTAGGTGAGTCGCAGCCCGATCTCTCGCGTTTCATTTGCGACAGGGTCAGATTGCACCCAAAATTGCCGTGAAAAGCGACGTCCGGTGAGGCTACCCTGCACCTGTCCCACTAGTTATCGGGTGGATCCACCTCCACTGCGGTCTCAAAGGGGCGAATGCTCGCTTCCTCTGGGGAGCAGTATCAACACAGGTCGACTAAAATGCGCGTACGGGTCATACCAGTGCGCTGCGCCACAGGTACTGTACCGTCTAGGCATACTGAGCACTTAACGGTCATGTTGCAAAAATGTATCGAAAGGAGGACATCTCTCCGCCATCCGTCAGGCAAGAATGCCAGAGGTGACATTCTCCGTGGCACTGGAATAATGCTTCAGCTACTGAGTGGCAGATTCAGGGCAGGAGCTCTAGCCGATGCCCTTCTTAGCTTGTGCTTCCATTCCAGGGCCAACAGCACTACATATTTTTAATAAGTCAGCACACTGACAAACAATCCGTACCCCAAAACAGTTCCGCGGAGCCTAGCTGTTCAAATATAGGCGGCCCAAGCGGACGGTCCCTTGAAACAAACTCCATTCTTTCAATCGACGGCGCGTTCATCACTTATCAGTCACATCACACAAACAAGAAAAGGAGATATATCAAATATGTGCAATGTATTATACACAATGAATGCCAACTTGAGTGTAGCTGGCATTGCAGGAACACGTACAAAACTAGCCAACCGCTAAACTAAAGCGTACGTCAATGTCCCGATCCTGAGCCACTAATGGAACCAGTTGTGAGCATGCACAGTCACTAACTAAATTCAAGGGCACCGCTAGTGCCAATAAATTTATAATTCATTCGATAAATTCACACCCACTTACTCGCGATGTCATTCAAACGGTGCCTGCAGCTTCTGTCGTCTGGAAATTAGCCGCGCAGAGAACAAGCTACGAGACGCACAACCGAACGCAGTCCCCGCTGGCGCCCGCCGCACCGCCACCATTCCGAGCAGCCGGGGCAGCGCTAGCAGCCGCCCAGCTGCCGAGGCAGTCCCTGGAGACGACCGCTGCCGAGGCCAGCCCTGGAGACGGCCGCTCCCGGGGCCAGCTCGTGGAGGCGGCCACTCCCCGCCGGCTCATCGGACACCAGCCGCCCAGCCGCCGAGACCAGCCCCTGGAGACAGCCGCTCCCCACCGGCTCATCGGCCCTTCTGATAGCCCGGGAAGAGCGCCTTCAGCGCGTCGAACAGCGTCACGTTGGAGACGAGAGCGAACTTCTTGCCCAGGTCGTGGCGGCAGGCGGGACACGAGAACACCTCCGCCTTGAAGGAGCGCTTCACGCACGGCTGGGGAGCACACGCGGCGCGTCAGGGGCCGACGCGGCCGACGACGGCACACGGAGCGGTCTAAACGGTAACACTGTCCTGGTCTGCCTCACGCCGGTAACACAATAGTGGGCACCACGTGACCACCTCTGTGAGTGAGCTGTTGGTCACCTCTGCACCAGAAACGTGAGAAATAAACGCACCCGTGACTAAAATGACATGTGCATACGAGAGCATATGCATGACTATGTAACTAAAGCCTATACAAGGCAAGGGCTGGCCCAGTAGACAGCTCTTACAGAGATGGGCAGGTACTGCAAACAGCTCACACAGAGACGGCAGCCAATGCGGACAGCTCACGCAGAGACGGGCAGGCCAGGTAGAAACGGCTTACACAGAGGCAGACGGGTACGGCAGAGACAACTCACACAGAGACGGGCAGTTACGGCAGACAGCTCACACAGAGACAGACGAGTACGGCAGGGACAGCTCACACAGAGACGGGCAGTTACGGCAGACAACTCACACGGAGACGGGCAGTTACGGCAGACCGTTCACACAAGAACGAGCAGTTACGACAGACAGCTCACACGGAGACGGGCAGCTAAGGCAGACAGCTCACACAGAGACGGGCAGGCCCAGCAGACAGCTCACACAGAAACGGACAGCCCAGACGGAGATGGGCAGCCTCGACGGCCAGCTCGGAGACGGAGAGCCCAGACTGGCACGGCCTGCCCAGACAGACAGGACGGCGGCGCCGGCTCACCAGGCAGACATTGTGGTGACAGGGCAGCGTGACCGGCGGACACACCAGCTCCTGGCAGCAGATGCACATGAACGTGTCCGTCACCTTCGCCAGGAACTTCTGCAACAGACGCCGGACGCCGCGTCAGATCGACCTCAGGGGCTCACGGCAGAGGCCCGGGCCAGGTGACAGGGCACGACTCGCCGGAGGCGAACGGCGGGCACTGCAGCTGTGGTGCGGCGGAGACGACGTCCCTCAAAGCTCGATTAGAGAATGTGATTATAGCACACGCACTTCCACGCGGGCGATTGCTTACGTACATATTCACTGGCATCTGTTGCATCTGGCACGGGCGGGTTAGCATGAAACTTGCCATGAGGTGCATAAGTCGGAGCAAAGGCAGAAACGTACAAGTAGGTCCGTGCCTCTGGCCAGAGCCGACCGTATCACTCACCAGTCGTCCGTGTCTCTCACCAGAGCCGTCCGCGTCTCTCACCAGAGCAGACCGTGCCCCTCAACAGAGCCCTCAGTGCCTCTAACCAGAGCCGACCGTATCACTCACCAGTCGTCCGTGTCTGTCACCAGAGCCGTCCGCGTCTGTCACCAGAGCCGACCGTGCCCCTCAACAGAGCCGTCCGCGCCTCTCACCAGAGCAGACCGTGCCCCTCAACAGAGCCGTCAGTGCCTCTAACCAGAGCCGACCGTATCACTCACCAGTCGTCCGTGTCTGTCACCAGAGCCGTCCGCGTCTGTCACCAGAGCAGACCGTGCCCCTCAACAGAGCCGTCAGTGCCTCTAACCAGAGCCGACCGTATCACACACCAGTCGTCCGTGTCTGTCACCAGAGCTGTCCGCGTCTGTCACCAGAGCAGACCGTATCACTCACCAGCTTGCCGTCGGCCAGCGAGCGCCGACACGCGTCCCAGAGCTGCGCGTTGTCGGCGTCCGCTTTCATCAGGGCGGCCACGGCCGGCGCAGGCGTGTAGGCCGCCGGTCGCGGCCGCTTGGTGGGCGGGGCACCCTCTTCATCGGCCCCCTCCGTCTCCGCCGGCGGCTTGTCGCCCGGCGCCTCCACGCGCTGCCGGACAAGCCGACAGCCACCGGTCAGCCATGTGTCGCACAGAGTGAGGGAGAGGCAGCGGGCAGTGACGAAGCGTCGACGGGGAGTGGACGAAGCGTCGATACAAGCCTCGATGGGGCATCGCTGACGGTTGGCGCACCGCCTCAACAAACCGACCGACACAAATGCGGACCCGTTCAAACGAGAACACCCTCCGGGCAGCATCTCCGCGCGGTCTCAGCTCCATCCCTCCGGTTCCTTGCCCAGCAGCGCCCGGCACCCGGTCCCAGGCGTACCCCGCACGCGACCCTCGAGCCCGTCAAGAGCCACTCTCATCTCAGCACGCCGCCCTGGTCGTCGGTGCTGGAGCGCCGGCCGCCGCTCACCACCATGTCCTGGATGCCGAGCTCCAGGACGCGGCGCCGGCCGGCCTTGGTCCAGGGCGCCGGGTCCGGGTCGTCGCGGCGCATCAGGTAGCGCCACACCAGGAAGCCGCTGCGCCCCTTCTCCGGCCAGTAGCGCACGATCTTGTACACACCGTCGTACCTGCGGTCGCGCGGCGACGCGGCTAGTCGCAGCTATGGCCGCTCAGCTGAGCGAGCTCAGAGCGTCAAGCTCTCGGGCGG